TCAGCTCCTTTATAATGCTGGGAGGTTCCTCACGCTCCCCAAGTTTATAAGAAAGGTCAAGATTCAGCTCCTTTATAATGCTGGGAGGTTCCTCAAGTTCCCCAAGTTTACTTATAACTGGTTAGGGAGGAGTTGTGTGAGGAAGGACACTGAAGTAGCTGCATTGACTGACTTCTTGTGATTTTTGTGGAAACCTGCCCATGAGTTCTTAGACCAGACATTATATTCAACATCAACTATAAACACACTAATATGATTTCAGATCCACCACAGCTTTCATCCAAGGCTCTCTAATCACTTTTACAGCTGCTACCTCATTGATCCACGCTTGTTTAGTAGTGTCTTAGTTATTTAGTGCTGCTATAGCAGAAATACCGCAAGTGGATGGCTTCAACAAAGAGAAATTTATTCTTTCACAGTATAGTAGGTTATACATCCAAATTCAGGGTGTCAGCTCCAGGGGAAGGCGTTCTCTGTCAGCTCTGGAGGAAGGTCCTTGTCATCAGTCTTCCCTTGTTCTGGGAGCATCTCAGCACAGGAACCTCGTTTCTTGGTGATGTGAGGTCCCCACGTCTCTCTGCTTGCTTCTCTCCTTTATATCTCAAAAGAGATTGGCTTAAGACACTATCTAATCTTGTAAATTTCATCAATATAACTGCTGCTAATCCACCTTATTACATGATAGTAATAGGATTTACAACATACAGGGAAATCACCTGAGATTATAAAATGGTAGACAGTCATACAATACTGGGAATCATGACTTAGCCAAGTTGATAGATATTTTTTGAGGACACAATTCAATCTTTGACAAGTAGATAATTGGCAAATATTTTTATTCTCATTTTACAGAGGGGTTAACCAAGGACAGCATGGTAAAGAGTTTGATTTCTTCCATATGACTCATTAGTGACAAAGCTTGGACTTCAAATTTCACCCTCGCTGCTGCTTCAACTAGTCTTTATGTTGAGCTGAGTTTTAGAAACCCCTTCCTAAAGTCATTTGGTAGCTACTCAATAGTAGCATCTTTCAAGAGATTGTACATGAGAAGATACTACTTTGGGGAGTAGAAAGATTGGGGGAGAGGTTATTTTACCCATTTTAAATTGTATCCTGTAGTTAAACAACTTAGCATAAAATTGCAGTATACTATACCTAGACAAAAGTGCAGAGCTAGAGTGGAGGTGCCACTGCCACTGTTCTACCCCCAGCTTTATGATATTACATAACCTAAAATCACATCACGCAGTACAGCTGTTTTTCTCTTTGGGTAAATAGACCCCCGTTTACTTCCTGTCTTAAAATGGATTGTTTTTCCTCTAGGGACTGCATGCCTCTTAGTGTGTTATTTTCCTTGAATACTACTTTAGATATTTATATTTCTCTAACTCCCCAAATGGACTAATTTCTTTAGTAGAGTTCAGTGAGTTTGTCTCCTTTTCCCTGTCTTCTCTCCTACCAACTTTGGAAAGTAAGAAGTTAAAATAACCATGTTGATGTTGAAGTAGTCCTTCAAGACAAGAATAATCTTTTTCTTATCGTTCCCTTTTTCAGATCAACTCACAATGAAATGGAGAAGAATAGGTGAGTTGGGGATTTGGGCAGTGGAATGGGGGGAGTTTTGATGCATTCTCTATTCATTAAATTGAGACTTGGTTGCTCCTCTTGCCACTAATAGCCCCTGATTTAAGAGAACCCTCTAAGCCGCACTGTCTACAAACCACTTAGTTCCAAAGACCACACCCTCATCCCCCAGCCCACTCTTCGTGAGGAATGCTTTTTGTACAACTGTTCCACAGGCCAAAGCATTTTAGATCATAGGTAGTGTTTCCAAAAATAGTATTTTTTTTTAAATTATATGCTACTGAATATAATTGGCAATGTTCTCTTAAATCATACACACACAGAGATATGTATATATGTATATACATATATATATACGCACAAACACATAGATACAGATCTAGATATACAAGTAGATACAGATATGTGTGTGTTTGCAGTTTACTTGTAAATGAGGGTTCTCAAAATTCAAGCAAATGTATATATGACAGAAATGGGAGATTGTGACCGACTGGAGGAGGCCTGCCACCTTCACTGGGTTGGATCTTGCTGCAGGCCTGAGTTGGAGCTTCCTCACCTGGGTTGCCTCTTGCTGCTTAGTTAAATCTTTATTTTTCAAATCAAGTTGGTCCTCCTTCAGTGATGCACTCTAGTGGTTCTCAACACTGGTTGTACATTAGAATCACTTGCAGAGCTTTCATCTTAATGTATTTCTTAAGATGTTTTATATTAAATACATTTTATGTATGTATATACAGACACATACACATATATTGGAGGGGGAAGAGAACAAATATTTCTGCTGATTTTAAGAAATAACTTTATTATTATAGAAATGTTTAAACATACAAAAGTAGAGAGAATAATGTATGTATCACCTAGCGACAACAATTATCAACATTTTGCCAATCGTGTATAATTAAAACCATTCCTCTCCACACAAATTTAAAAAATTTACTTTAAAAAATCCCATGTTTTATCTGTAAATACTTTTGTTTCTATCTCTAGTAGATAAAGACTTAAATAAAAGAACATAACTTGCTTTTACCACAATGAACAAAATTAATGACAATTCTTAGTGGAGCTTTTTTTTTTTTAAAAAAAAAAAGAACAACAAACAATGCCCAGACCTCACCCCAGCCATTCTGATTTAACTGGTTTGGATTGAGCCTGCGCACTATTATTTTTTTAAAGCTCTCCAGGTGATTCTCACGTGCAGCCAGGGATTAGAACCGTTGAACAAGCCTCATTCTGGTCTCTTTGCTCCCATCAATTTGAAATACCAGTTACCCATCCAGAGTGAGTGACTTCTCCGTGCCCTGCATGAACAAGAAGATGATGTGTAATGATGGCTCTGTAAATACATGTGGTTATTTCATGCAAACTCATTTTGAAAAGATAGTCTGACTCTGAAAGTCAGGATCTGAATATTTATGTTTCTTCAGTAAAAGGGCAGACCAGACCCTTACCAGGCAGAAAGATTGTGGAACAAGGCGAACATTTAGCTTTCTCCACTGTGGAGTGTGCATGCGTGCATGCATGTGTGTGTGTGTGTGTATTTGATGGTGAGTGTACCTCTTGGCACATGTGCTTCTCCCCATCCCTCCTTCTTCCCTTTTAGTTGCTCCATGTTGTGGATGACTGTGTTTTGGGCTGGAGCTTCCTTTGTGCTTTAGGAATTTATATATTACGAACTAGAAACTCAGGTGTATCTCTTCTTAAGGTAGAAAGGGTAGGCAGATGTGGCTTCGCTTTCTCATGTTTCGATTCTCCGTCATCTTCCTTGCCCCTGAGGTGAACGGGGTAATCTAGGGCTATCTCTGCTGAAAAGTCTTCTAGTTCTCCTTCTCCCCTCTAATCATTTACTTAGGCGTTTATTTTTATTATTAGTAAAATTTTATCTCTTCAGGTGAAGGCTCTTAGGCTTATGACAGCTATGTGCCTTTCACCTCTGCAGGAATGCCACAGAATGCCAGTTTTATACTTTATTTTAACAGTTTAGGGGTGTTTATTTTCTGCCTACTGTGTCCCAAGAACTTGTGCTCAGATTTGGGGTATTTAATGAGTTCAGTACTGGGTTATTAAGTGAGCACAGTTTCTATCCTAGAGAAGCATATAGTTTGTCTCATGAGAAAAGTGTAGAGACTGTTTCAGTTAACACATTAAGTGAAAAGATTGAGATATGTACAGGATGCTATGGGAGCAGAGACTCTAGAAACTGGAGTTGAAGCTACTTCTGAACAAGCTGCTTATAATTCGGTCTGCTTCCCTAGACCAGTCAACTTTTGCTTGTCGAAGGTTTGGTTATCTAGTTTCCTTATTGTCCTTTCCTTTTTGGAATTTGGTCTTCTCAGGGCTTGATAATTCTTTCTCTAGTCTTGAGCATACGAAACAGAAGAGAAGGAAGTAGGAATTCAATTTACTTAATTTAGCCAAGCATTGGTTGCTGCAATCCAGAGGAGGAAAAGGTTGAAGTTGTGGGGCTCTTACTCCCTTATTAGTGTGGATGCTTAAGAATATTAGGGCTGGGAGGTCAGGTGAACAGCTGCTCTTATAGTCTCCCTGTTTTTGGTAGCTATTTCCTATAAAAGAATACTGCTTTGCCAAATGCTAATATGCTCTAGCCATTTGTACCTTAAAACGTCACTCACACACACACACAGATTGTCATGGCTCTCTTTAAAAAAAAGCAGTTTAGGAAAAGAACTTCTAAACAATGGGATTTATTTATTTTTTCTCTCTTTGGTATCGCAGAATTGATTACACTTGGTTTAGTCTTCTTAAACAAAAGACTTTCTGTGTGGCATTTTAGAGATTGAGTAGTTGGTGTTACTCTAGTTTATCAGGAGTCCACTATGAGTCTGTTAGATACAACACTGCCACTTTTAATTACCTTGGCATTGGTAGGAAGGTGAAAGAAAAGACTTCTAGAACAGTAGTAGCAGGAGTCGGTAGTGGTGGTGGTGGTGGCGTTTTGCATTTAAAGAAGTTTATTTGTTGAGCACCTTAAGATGCCAGGCACTAGGTGCTGGGAGTACAGAGAGAAAGACCAAGCCCCTGCCTTGCAGGAGCTCAGCTTAATATCACTCTGAGTGGTCTCTCGGTTGGTACTTGGCAGGTGCTTCTCTGAATTTTAACTAATTTTGTTGGCCTGCCTCCTAAGGAAACACACTTGGTGAGTGAGTGGTTTTTCTTTTTCTTGCTTTTAAACTGATCTTGTAGAAAATTTTGAAAAATATAGAAAGTCATGCTAAAAAAAAAAAAAATCATAATTTCAGCAACCAGAGAAAACCAATGGAACTTTAATATATATCTTTCCAGTTGTTTTTGGGAAATAACTTTAAATATAAAAAATACACTTTAGTGTAGAAAAATAGAAAGTTCAGAAATGCACAAAGAATATAAAAGTCACCTATAATAGACCTCGCAGAGGCAACCACTAATAACATTTGTTCTATATCCATATAGTCTTTTGTGCATCCTTTTTTTTTTTTTACCAACATAAGAGATCATATAGTAAATAATTTGTAGCTTGCTTCTTTACAAGCTATGTCATGAACATTTTCCAATGCCATTAAATCTCCTTCTCCAGCATTCTTTTTAGTAAATGGTCAGTATTATATCACATGGATGTATCATGACTCATTTAACCAATCTCCTATTTTAGGTTCTTTCCAGTATTTAGCTAATATAAACAATGCTTCCTTAAACCACCTTGTAGACAAACTCTTGTCCAACATCATAATCATTTCCTTAGGATAAATTTATAGCTGTAGAATTAATGGTATACACGTTTTTATGGTTTTTAAATGTTGATTGCTGAATTGCCCACCAGGCAGGTTGTAGGTAGTGTTTTCCTTTATACGTTCATAAATTGATATTGTAATTTAAGAACTTTATGAATTTGATGAGTAAAAAAAAGTCAACTTTGCATTTTTTGTTACTAGCACGTTGAACAATTTTCATATCTTTATTGACAGTTTGTATTTGTATGTACGTAGGTGAATTGTCTGTTAAACAACCTTTGCCCAATTGTCTACTGAGGAGTTTCTCTTGTTCTTACTTTGTTTTGAAAAGACTGTGTAATGTAAAGGATATACCTGAAAGATGTTGTTTCTTTGTCTATCACATAATTTTCAAGTTTATCATTTACCTTATGAAGTCAGTCTTCTCTCACTGATTGAAGTTGCTACCTCTATCCTATACTTCTTGTTTATGGCTAAGTCTGTTTCTGGACTTGTTCTTCTCGCCCATTGATCTGTCTGCTCTTCTTGTGCCAATATAAACCAAAAAACAAAACAAATCTGTTGCCGTCAACTCAATTCCGACTCATAGAGACCCTACAGGACAGAATAAAACTGCCCCATACGGTTTCCAATGCTATAATCTTTACGAAAGCAGACTGCCACATCTTTCTCCCTCGGAGTGGCTAGTGGGTTCGAACTGCTGACACTTCATTTAGTAGCTGAGCGCTTAACCACTGTGCCACCAGAGCTCCTATGCCAATATACATTGTTGTAATCACTGAAGTTTTATCATGCGCTTCAGGACCTAGTAAAGCAAATCTCTCCTCGTCTCTTCACTCTTTTTATTTTACTATGTTCTTAGCTATTTTCACCAATTTATTTTTCCAGATGAATTTTATAATCAATTCATAAATGCCTCACCCTCAAGTTCTTTTGGGATTTCTAAAAAATTGCATAATTCTAATATAAATAGATCTGAAAAGGTTTATGTTTACATATCAGATCTTTCTATCCAGGGTTTGGTGTGTGTCTTCATTTATTCAGATCTCTTTTCTGTCTCTGAGCAAAATTTTGTAGTGTTCCCATGTAGGTCTTGACGTTTCTTATAAAAGTATTCCTGGGTTTTTATATTAATTGTTATTAGTTTCCACTGTAGTTGCTAATTATTGTTGGGATATAGGAAACATTTTAATTTTGATATTGTTATGTGTCCTTTATTGATGATAATTCTGCTGTTTGTTTTCTCTTAGCTGGGAATTCCTCTGGTTTAAATGC